TTATACTTAAGGAGCATCCAGTTATAATGTAAAATGTAAAAATGCCTTTAGAAAAACCCTGTAAAAAAATTAGGAATACATATCTTAAAATAAAAGCTCTTACCTCTTCACATTTAACTTCCACAATATCATGATCTAGGCACAGTTCCTCCTCGCTACCCCTCTGTGCTGGAAGGGGTAGTGGATGAACGTCACCACTAACTTCGTTTCCTGAGTGCCGCTCTACTAGAGGTTTCTTTTGAATATGTTAAAAAACAAAAAAACAAAAAACCCCCAAACCGCCGGTGTTATTCATTACAGAAACATTTCAATTCATTCGCCAACTAATGACACATAAGATCTATCATTTTAGTATTTATTTAAATATGACAATCTTATCCCAACTGGCTACAAAATAAAGAAAGCAAAAGCAGGCAGTTTGATTTAAAAAAAAAAAAAATCATAGACCTGAAAGAACCATAAAACAAATATGTATACATTTTACCATATATACTGTGTACCTGATTTGCCTTCCACAAACAGTAATGAATAAAAGGCAATCTCCTTTCTTAATGTAAGGGTTGTTACATTCCTAAGTGTGGATTAGGAGGTACATTAATATATACAATGAGACTCATATGTAGAGACAGTTCCAACATCAAAACCATGACTAAAACATTCAGGAAAAACAAAAGTTTAACTAGGAAGCTCAGAATTCTCTCTTTCTTGGCAACTGTCAGCAAAATAGCCCTAAAAGCTACAAATTTAGTTTCCTTTGAAGGTTTCCATTTTTGCAATTCTTTCTAGGTGGATTAAGTCCTTTGATCCTGCCACAAAATTAAATAAAGTTCTTAATCTTTAAGAACACACAATCACTAGTTTTTTGCAGCATCTTAACACATAGAGATTCCTAGATGTTTTAGTGAATCTGAAATTCTCTTCTTCTAGCGAATTCTTAATACCCCATTCATTTCTACCACTAAACAAGCAGAAGAGGAGCCATTTCAAATACTTTCTTTGTGAAGTTTTCCACACTGATAAAAGCACTATTTTCCTTCTTAATAGAAATCACCAACTTTGGGCAGTCATAGCCCTAAAAGTTGTGTAATACTTTATTTTGCACCCCTTTAGCAGAAAATATATAGGAAAGCTGACTCCTCACATGACAAGAGTAGCATAATGTAGAATCATTTTTACTCAAAGCATAATCATTTTACTCTTGTAAAACCAAAACCAAAGCCAGGAGACATTAGGAAATCTTTGCTGAACAGATTCAAACAAAAAGCAAACAGTGGTTTGAAAGCTGAGTTGAAAACACATGCATTAGGCTAAGTACACTTCATTCTCCAAACACGATGTAGCTTCTTTTTCTGATTTTATCTTTTTTTCATTGCTGTCCTGCCATTTGAAACAATTCAAATGACAAACAATAGCACTAGATTATTACCACCAAGACTTTGAGATCAACTACTCAGTAAAAGAGAAGCAACATCTTCTGTATAGCAGCCATGATTTCAGCCAATCACATTTTGGGGAAAAACAAACAAACACCAGCGCACCTCAAAACTGGTTTGATTAAGTGTTAAAATCTAAATGAAAGCACAAATTCCATCAAGAGTGTGACTTGCTGTAAATGAGATTAACCTTTAGACATAAAACATAAAAATTATTTTCATACCTGTTTGGAATTCAGAGCGCTGCCAATGGGATCAGCAAGGCCTTTACCACAATTTGACCATAACTCATATTTAAAAGGTCTGAGTTTTTTCCTTGTTTGGGATTTAACCTCCAAAGTGAACATAAGAAAAATTCCCAGGATTACACACCCCACTTTTTACCACCACTAATAGCCAGAAAAATTTCATGGCACACACACACAAAGACATTTAAAACTCTGTACTACAATAATGTCTAAAAAAAAAATGACCCAAATTTACAGAGAACAGAGATGCACAAGTGCATGCTATATTTATACACTCATTAATGCCTATGCAAAGTTGCATCAAAGGTGGTTGTAAAATAGAAAAGACAACTTGCACCCGAGTTGAAATGCAAACAAATAGAAAAAAATGTAGTTATGTCTCTAAAAGTAGCAAATTAAGTATACAGAAGCCCTGAGCACTAAGATAAACTCAAAGGAAACAAAATCCTGTAAAATAGGAAGACTGAAAATTCTTTTCATTAAAGCACAGAATGATACACAACACAAACACTGAAAAAAACTAATTAACAATGTAAACAAGTATCATTGATGAAAATAATCAGATTTGAGAAACAAATGCAAGGTCACGCTTAAACTGTTACAGAACTTCAACATATCAGATGGTCTTGCTTTGCCTTTAAATCTATGTGCAAAGTTTAACGATTCACATGTTCACAATGTCAAGAAGTGCAAAAGAAAATATATCACTTACTGTAAAGACACCAAATACTAGATTTATCTTCATTCTAATACTTTTTCATTTATACTTCAAACAATTGGCAGCTTCATGTCTTGAATGGCAACATTCAAGCATCTTACAATGGAAATTCATACTAATTATCCATTGTTTTGTCCATCGGTGATGCATCTTAAATAAACTGGTCTTCGGCTTCTACCTGCAGCATCAAGCATGTCCAAAGAAACTTATAATAAAAGTAGCCATTTAATACGTACCTTATTAGAGTTACTCAATTCCTTATGTTTTTTCACCACACGGTTGATAATGTCACAAACAATTTGCATTTTTCTTTCTGCAAAGCCAAACTGAAGAAATTGCTCTTTTGTTAAAATTGGTTTATACTGAAATTGATCTCGAAGAAACTGCAACAAAACAAGAGTTTACTTCACTTTCAAAATCACCACACAATTTGCTGTAGGACTAGCATGCTCATATTCTTATTTTACTACAATCTTTTTTTCAGTCTGCACTTCAACAGTTACACCTTTCCTCATTCAATATTTATATACATATAAATATATAAATGTTTCTTCTAACTACGCTTTAAACATACCTCCTCTTCTAGAAACATTTCATTTGCACCATTCTTATAAACTTTAACTCACAGTCTTAAGATTCATTAAATAAATGACTGTAGTAATTACTATTAAAAAATTTAAAACAAAGATTTTCCAAAGTGAATTTAAAACAAAAAGTAGTATTAATCTCAGTAAATGCATCAGAGGGCTATGTAAGGCTCCCCCAGAACCTTTCTGTAAAGCAGTCTCTGTCCTCCTCAGATGGAAAACTAGTCTGAATTAGCCACCATTTGTTAATACATCAAGTCACCTTTTCTAAAAACATCCTTACGGATATTTTAAGGATAAAGTTATTTTCAATCAGTTAAGAATTTGATTCCAACTTATAAACTGTTAAGTACTTTGCTTCATAGATTAAAATGTCATAGTGTTTTAAAATAGCCATATTTCTTAATTGTGCTTCCATTACAATTTTTTAAGTTTTATGTGGTTTTGTTTTTGGTGGTATGATTTCTTCCAAGGTCACTTCTATAAATCTTGTTGGAAAATAAATATTTCAGAATTCTTTAAAACTAACAAAAAACAATATTACTGTTTCTGCAACTATCTCAAAATTGAGAGACAGCTGGGTAACACCACCCATCCTTATTTTCATGAAAATCTAAACACTTGCCACACAGTGACTTATTACTCATCTTAAATCCTAAGAGAGCTACAGTTCACGTTTGTTGCAAAAAATTTTCACTTTCTAATAAAACTCATAGTAGATGTTTAATTTTTGTGAGGCTATACTCAAAACTGCATTTGTACTGCAAAGAACATGAAGACAGATACCTTGTAAACAGCTTCAATAAAACGCAAGTCACTCTTTGCTGTCAGTTCCACATCACACTTTACCAAAAGCTCTGCTATGCAGGTTGAAAAAGAAGTAAAACAATAGTTGATGATAGGCAAAAATGCAGCTGGATCACCCTTTACTAACCTATTAGAAAACAAAAGTATTTTACACAGTAGAAGATAACAAAAGCCTTTCACTACATGAATTCAACCATTTAACTTGAAAGGCATTAATACAGCCAGCAAGTTATATCCAAAGTATCTCTTTCATTTTTTTGTCCAGGCATATCTCGTTCAGCAGTTTTTGCTGTTATCTGTTTAATGTTCAAAAAAAAAAAAAAAAAAAGAGTTGTTCCGATCTTCATATAATTTAAACACTGACAGGTCTAAAGCCCACCAGCATTTTCAGCTCAACATTCAACACCTTTTTTAACCTTCACAGGATGAAACTTCCTGAAGGAAATTTTGCAAGCAATTACAAAGAAATTACAAAGGTGAGAAATTAATCAAAGAAAAGAGAACAGCAGAAGAGCAAGACAGTGATATACTTCAGGATTATTCTAAGGATTGCTCAGAGGAGGAAAATTGCACCCTTTAATACTTCAGTTCATATTTACCAAACCCCAGCTTCCCACAGACATATGCTTCGCTTACTCATCACTGAGTGCAATGCTAATATTTATACATATCTTGTTTACACATTTTGCTCTCATTGTGTATTAGCTCAAATTTTCACACTGCCACTTACACTGTATAATCCACATCTCTTGGATAACTTAACAAGCGAAGTCCTTGTTCTATTTTTCTTAAACTTCCATTTAGGTCTCCTGTTGCCATTATTCCAAATGCTATTCTTCTTTCAAATTATGAAATAAATGTTTAAAAGTACATCCCCTTAAAAAAAAATTATGTACACAAGAATTACAAAATACAATAGAATTATCAATGAAATTCAAAAGGTTTTGCTTCCCTTTCTAAACATTACTATTTCCAAAGCATTACAACACAGCACAGAACTACAGCTCAATACCAATTTATACCAGGCATCATTTTCATTCATTCAAAAGAGGATCAAATAGTAATCCTCAATGTGATCAACCACCAAAGAGTTTTAAAGATATCCGAAAGCTTATTAAAAATTTAGTGCTGGCTAAATCCACTAAAAGTGAATGGAAACAAGTTTCTTGATTGTTTCAAAGCAGCAGAAGTTCCACAAGTAGTGAAAACCTTCTGCATTCTTCAGTTTAGAATGCTTCTTTTCTTTACCTGGCCCCAAGCTCACTGGCCAAAAGAGCACTGTTTGGCTGTGTAGGCATCAGAAGACAACTAACAACTCATCACAGATCATACTTCTCTATTTAGACAATCCATTAAATACACTTAAAATTGCTAAGAGGGAGGGGGTAACAGAGTGCTTAGATTTTTAGGTAAAATAGTTTATTGGGATGATAACTCTTTAACTTCTACACTGTAACACACAACTTGAGAATCCACTTTTAATTTATTGTATACTTTGCTTTGTAGAAGAAAGAGACTCATCTAAGGACTTGGTGCAAACTACAAAAAGCTCTCTTCCTGCAGCACTATCCCACAAGGAAACTGAAGACTGGGAAAAAAAAAAAAAAGAAAATAAAAGAGAATCAGCAAAGCGTGAAACCACCAACATTCAAATCAGTTTTTAGATCTATCAAAGGCATAAAAATAAGTAGAGGAAGCTCCCACTTTTAGTATGTTGTACCAAACAGAACCAATTAGTAAATTGTCAAGTGGAAGAAGACTAGGGAAAAAATAAGGAAAAAAAAAAAAGAAATCAAAAATTGCCATAAAAGATCTAAAAGTACTGGCAATTCTGCCTGGCTGGCAGACAGTAAAATAAAACACCTGAAGTAGTACCTTCAAATACCAGTACTAATATTTTTCCTTGAAAATAAATTTATATTTAGAGACAGCCTAAGAGTACTGTACCCTGCAACATTTGTTTATATGCAATCAACATTAACTCTTCTCCAACACAAAACTTTAAGAGCACAGACTGGATCATAGCCCAGCTCTTAAGTCACAACTGAAAACAAATGGCTTGCATCTTAACAACCTGGACACAGTGACAGAACTTGAGTGAGCCTATCAGCAAACTATCAAAATCAGTGTTTTTGAATCCTTTAGAGGTGATTAAAAAAGCCTAAAATTTAAAGTACAAAAATACAGAAGGTTGACACCTCTCAATGAACGTTTTTCCTCACATCCTCAAGATCTGCTTGTGACTGGCTTAATCCTCTGCAGTACCTGCCACAAAAACCTCAGTTAAAGAGTAATGACTTCAGTTATAAAGCCTTAGAACAGAAAATCACCGTTCAACTTCCTGCTAGAACCTGGGAGATAATTTCCTGCCACCGTCTCCACTGAATTTCTTTTCTTGCCAGAAAACAAGTACTTTGAAGCCTACCAGTCCAAGCAGCGAAGGGGCATCGACAACCTAGAAATGAAGCAATGGTCTCAAGAGACAGTTAAGCCTTGTATTAATGGTCTGGTTTTGTTGAGGGTGTTTTTCTTCTTGTGCTTCTACGGTGTTTAATCAGCAATCCTCCAGACTAAAGTATTTTTTTCCTATTTAATTATTGGGTTATTTCACTTTAATCATTAGGTTGTCAGTTATTAGTTGTGCTAAATGTAAGTACACAACATTTGCTCTTGAATGTTTGGGACAATTTAACCAATTTGTTTGGAAACTGAGGCAGAATACTTCCTGCATTAACTTACAAAGTGATCCATCGTATGGTTTTGCCAGTTTAACTAGATCTTAAGACAAGTTTCAAAGAGTCTTATATAAAAATGGAGCTCTAACCTGCAATGCAAATGCTCACAGAAGACACTATCACAGGAATTTGTCTAATCATACAAGCCATTTCCCAAAAGTATTTACAATCCTTTCAACATTGGACCTCCGGATGGAAAAACCAGCAACTACTGTTACTACAAAACAGAAAAACTACTGTTACTACTAAAAAACAAAATAGCTTGAGGTCATAAAAATAACAGTGAGTTTGGCAGAAAATCTATCAACACAGTAAAAAGTGACACATAGCTTTTGCCTGCAGAAATCCATGACAGAACATCTACAGAACATTTGCTATCCAGAATAAAATTGGTACAACAGAGTTTTAAGATATGATAACACAGGACTGCGAGCGGATCAAAGAATAATTCTCAAAACTGCAGAGGGTACTCAAAGAATCAATGTAAAAAAAATAAACAAAAAACCCAAACAAACAAAAACCCAAACAAAAAACCACATAAACAAAAACACACCCCAAAATAACTACTCCATGAAGGTTAGCAAGTATCTTAACACTGTAAGCATTGTCTTTGAAATGCCTAACAAAATAGACTTCTGATTTTTTCTCATTGTATCTAGGCTCTCCTCCTACATGGGGTGGGGAACTGAGAGGAAATCGCACCATTTCACAAAGACACAAAACCGTCACCGGCAAACAGTGGATTTCGCTACCGTGCCAGATGCCACCGATGCACTTGGCGCACACGGGCCACTCGCACAGGAGCGAACCGCACAAGAAACCGCGTGTCACTGGCGGGCTGCCCTGGGCGCCACCGCAACTCCAGCGGGAAAAACGCGTGTCCCAGACAGGACGCGGCACGGCGGGCTGCGTGCGGGCGCAGCGCGCTGGGGCGAAGTGGGCAGAGCGGGACCGGAGCCGGCTCCATGCCCGACCTCTCTTGCCCCTGGACCGGCCGCAGGCCGGGCCTCCCCAGCCTGGGGCTCGCCGGCCCCGGGGAGAGGCAGAGCCCTGCGCCTAGAGCCGGCCCGCACGGCCGGGATAAAAGTCTTCCCCGGGAGCGTTCCTGACGCTCACCCGCGCCAGGCGAGCCCCCCGCGGGAACCCCGCGGTTCCCTCCGGGATCGCCGCCGTTCCCGCCGGGAGCCGGGCCGAGCACTCTCCGAATCTGCCGCCGCGAGCCCAACGGCCACTTCCGCTTCCCGCGCCCCCGCCCCCCCCGCGGTGACGTCACTTCCAGCAACAACATCAGCCGTCAGGGCGGCCCGGCAGGCTCAAGGGGCGGTGGGCGCGGCCTCTGCCCAGGTTCTCTCCCGGGGCCCCTCCGGCGGCTCCTGCCTCTGCCTAGGGCCGCGCAGCCCCTTCCCGCCCGGCGCGGCTCTCGCACGGACGCGGGCCGGTCTCGTCGCGGCGGCGGTAGGACCCGGGCTGGCTCAGGTATGGCCCGGCCAAGGGGGAGGAGCGGGGTCCTGGGGACGGCCCAACAGGGCTCGGGACGGCCCGGGCTCGCCGGGAGCGGAGCAGCCTTTCCCTGCCCGCCCTGCCTGGCCGGGCTCCCCACGGGGTGCTCCCGTCGGCCAGGGCGGCTTTGGGACTGCGGGATGGGCTGTGCCTCCGCCCGTCAGCCTGGGTGCCCGGAGTCAGTTTGAAGCCCTCTAGGATTGAAGGGCTCGCAGGTTCCGGGCCTCGGTTACGAAGGGAGGAACGTTTCCTGGCGGGATGATTGTGGCTGCAAAGCGGCAGCCGTAGAGCTCGGTTAACATAAAGCGGAAAGCGTTTAAGAGTGCGTGTTGCTTTTTATTTAATGAATTAGAAGCCGCTGCTAATGCAGCATTAATCTAGATAGCTTTTAGAATCCTATCGTGCTTGTCAACACTGCTAAAAACTAATTTAAATCAGTCTTTGATAGATACCAGACAGCCAGAGAAGATCAGCAATTTATAAACAAGCTTGGTTATTTTGACTGTGATAGTTTTTACAGCCAAGCTACCAAGGTTTCAATTCCTAGCTAAAGTTACATTACTGGAAGTTGGAAAACATACATTGAAGTGGCCTGTTGAATCTAGAGATTGAAAATGTATGTTCAAAATAATTTAAAAATATATTTCTGGTCACTATTACTTAAAAGACTTTATAATAACAATGGGTTTGCTCGTCTTGTGTGACGAGTGAGTTCTGAAAGCGTTCTTCCTGAATTACGACAAAGCTGAAAGTAATTACGTGATGAGGAAGATTATATGTGTTCTAACAACTGGCATATAAGCTGCTGAATTGGAGCATACATGCATATTAAAGCCTTGTGAATTTCCAGCAGCTGGTTCTAGAATGGTTTAAAATGTGTCTTAATTTGCTTCTTCTCTGAAATTTCTTCAGTTGGTCCTTAAAGTAGGAAATACATTTTTTTTAAGTCTCTTTTTTTTATGTTACGAAAAGGCTTTTTATACGATTTCTACAGTGATGTTCTCTTTTTAAGTTCGTGAGTACAATATTCTGAAGGGTTTATGTTATCACACTAGGCAAGAAAGGTTGAAAAGATACTTATTCTCTTGTTTCTCAGCACCCAAAATCCTTACTGCATAATCATTGAAATCATGAAACTTTGTTTCAGTGTCAGTCACAGCCTCATCTTGTGTGCTACCCAATACTCAGGACATTTTTGTTTCTCCTTATATTTTATAGTGCTTCATTGATGCTAAATGAGATATATTTATTAAATTTTAAAGGAAGTCTAGAGATTCCAATTGTTCTGAAGCTTAAGGCTTTTTAACTTGCATAGGATATAGATAATATTTGGTACTCTTTGCAGAAGCTTATTGTTAATTTTGTAACTCTTAAAGCATGGAAATTTTTGAAAAAATCTAGGTTTTTTATGGGGTTTGTATTCAGTATCTTTTCAGTTGCCTTATGAAAACAGGTTACATAGCATAATTTTGACAAAACTCACTTTTTACCTACTCGGATCAGTCCTACAGTTTTATTTTGCAGTGTGTGCTGAGTCTGTCTTACAAATGTTTATTGATAGCTGTCAACATTTAATTTGGATTTTATGTCCAGCAGGCTCGCAGATGGGTCAGGGACTCTGGAGAGTTGCTAGGAACCAGCAATTGCAACAGCAAGGATACAGTGGACCAGGCTATCTTACCAGAGAGCATGGTAGGAGGGTAGCTGCTAACAATGTTTCCAATACAAGCCATCGCAAACAAGCTCAAGGAGGCATTGACATCTACCACCTGCTGAAGACAAGAAAATCTAAAGAGCAAGAAGGATTCATTAACCTGGAAATGCTGCCACCAGAGCTTAGTTTTACCATTTTGTCATACCTGAATGCAACTGATCTCTGTCTAGCTTCATGTGTCTGGCAGGATCTTGCTAATGATGAGCTCCTCTGGCAAGGGTAAGCATGAACAAAAAAGTGTCATCTGGACATTATAAAAATAGTTAGATTTTAAATTTGTCTCAGTAAGTGTTTTGAAAAGGATTCCCAAGTTAGATGAGATTTTACGTAGAGGAAACGTAAATAGTTTAAAAATGTATTGTTCTGGATTTCTAATTGCTATTGGGTGTTATTAGAGATTACTACATACCCAAGTGTGTTTGGCACAAGTGTATTATTACACACCTATTGTTTAGCATATTATGGGGAAAAAAAACGGGGCTTGTTTTCACTTTTGTATTAGCTCAAAGCACACCTCAAATGTTTGTATTACTTCTCTGAATTTCAAACTAGTGTCTACTGCGAGCAAGCAATGCTATTCAGACAAACTTCCAAATGAAAAGACAGGAGAACTCATCTACTATGCTTGTCTTAGAGCAACTTAGGTGTGTGTTTTTTGGAAGATAGTTATGGAGGTAGGGGAAAAAAAGGCTGGTTTTTCTCAAGTGAAATTCTGCAGTATAGGTATAAACACATTTATATAAAACATGTGCAGAGCTTGTATGTCTAGGAAATAAATAAAGGAACATTCAGATAAAATTCTGTAATATCAAAATGTAATTAATATTTTCTTTGATATTTCATGTTTAATCAAACCAGGAAAGACTCACGAAGTCATACTTCAGAGTAGATGGTTAGCAGAACTTATAACATTTTTCTACCCCTTCACCAATGATGCTCTATCTGTAATAGTTAGGGGCTTGTTCAGGTTGGTTTTTTTGCTTTCATTATGCTCTACATCTCTTCCTTTACTTGTGTATTTCCTTGCCCCTCTGCATTTGAATTAAGCAGCTTCATTTCCTCTCCTGCTTTATGAACTTAGCAGTAGGATAATGCGATATAATTTCTTAGTCACAATTGTTCTGCTGTTGGGGACTGTTGTGTTGACAGGAAATAGGAACTCTAGTGAAGGATACCAGTAACCTTCTAAGTTTATCAGTATGCATTGTACTGTGCTCACTTCTTCATACCAAACCCACCCTAAATACAAATAAATTCCCTAGACTAAAGCTTGAAGATACTAGAACTTCTTTGTTGTATGCAGTATATGTTCTTAACGTACAGGGGCAAAAAAAACTCCAATGTATTTTCCTCAAAGTTCATTCTGGGAAATTATTTCTGGTGAAATCTTTCCAAATAATGGAATTATTCAAAGTATGCACTTTGGTAATGAAAATGTGTCCTGATTTAACAGATTAATAAAAATCTCTATTTGCATAATCTCTGTGGACATCTACAGATCATCAGCATTCCGTATGTATTGGATGCATTTAAGCTTTGGCAAGTCCTGTGGCTGCAGTTCCGAACTCAGTCTTAATAAGACCCAGATTCTGAACTGAAAACAGAGTCTGTGCCATGTCCTCAGTAGGTCCTTGCTGCGTCCCAAACATTGTGCCTAGTTAGTTACAAAGCAGGTGTATTGAAGCAGAACTACCGGTTCAGTAAGGAATCTAGAGAACATAGAAAGGGAAAGAGAATTTCAGATGGTGTCGTCAAGGAGACTGAGTTGAGGGACAGAAACCAATGAAACTGAGATACAAAGTGAGATAGAAGGGAAAGAAACTGAGACATTATAGAAGATGTGGAGGGATGGGGCTAGATCTAGTAATTAGGACTGGCCAACACATGAAAAAGAAGAGTGAGGTGGAAAAGATGGGGAAAGTGGTGAGTTAATGGCATAATTTTGTGCAGATGTGGTGTCCCGTTCACTGCACAAGAAAAAAAACCACAATGTTTTATCTGTCATAGTACTGCAGGAGAACACAGTTCTTGTGTTCAGATACTACCAGGGCCAGAGGTCTCTGCTGTGTGGATTTCATTATGATGCCACCTACTGGGATATGTTTCAAGTTTGCACTCAAATACACCAAAACCTCTGTGAGAAGAAAACAATGATAACATAATTGAAGATTGTAGCAACACACATGCAAAAGAATTAATAACTAAATGTTACAAGCAGCCTATTTCTAATGTTTCCTATAGTTTGAGTATTTATTTTTGCAGTGTTGATTACATTTGGCTTCTGTAAAATGTATGAAATTCAGAAAAGAATTTTTATAATAGACTAATTCTATTTTCATAGGTTGTGCAAATCCACTTGGGGTCACTGTTCTATATACAATAAGAATCCGCCTCTAGGATTTTCTTTTAGAAAATTGTATATGCAGCTAGATGAAGGAAGTCTCACCTTTAATGCCAACCCTGATGAGGTAAGTGGACTGTTGATGACAGTAATAAACAGTTAAAATAATTGTGATTGTTGTTTTATAACTATAGCTATATAAGACACAAGTTTAATAGGTGTTTGTTTTACTGTAGGGATGGTTAATACTAAGCTACAGCCCTATTCTGGTCTTTTTTTGAGTATTGTAACTGTGCACACAAGTTCCATGACTTGCTTCTTAAGTACTCTGTACACCAGTCTGACCTATGGATGCCAGAAATCCATAACCACATATTGATTCAGGAACAAGACACGTGTCCTAACTGAAGAGAAAGCGGTGAATTTTAAAAGAATAATAATACATTTACATAAATTAAAATGCTAAAATGCTTCTGCAGAGTATGAGTTTGGTTCTACTTCAGTTAAAATAGGATGAGGTATTAAGTCTGACTACATCTATGACCATTATGTTTCGTTGTAAGGGACTTTTACCTAATTTCCACTACCAAGGGGCAAATACTGAAGTATTATGAGAAAGATATACTGCTGAACTATGCTGAAGTTCAGTGTGATTTGATTTCTGTGGATGTTTGTTGTGATAATCTTTATACTATAGAAAAACATAAATTTATTTTCAAAAAAAATACATGTCAAATTGAAAGGTTTGCATTTATTAATTCATGTAACTAACTGGAAAAGT